GACAGCCCTGACCAAGTCGGGCCGAACAGCGACTAACACTTTTGATTGAGGCTATGTTGTGTTTGGGGAGAGAAAAGGGCTTCACTTTAACGGAGCAGGTTTCTTTACATGTGGCATTTTGTAACATCACACAATGATAAATAGGTAGATATAATACTAATCTATGGAATTAATCACAAATCAGGATACATGTGTGAGGTTTAAGGTTGTTTTTGAGAGCCCGAGCCAAGCCGGACCGAAAGCATGTTATACTATGTGGTTGTTGAGAATGTATAGAAATTAGGGCTTCACTTTAAGCAACATGTTTGCTTCAAATACTACGCTTTGAGACTTTATAAAGACGTACTTAGGTAGATATAACTCTATTCTAGAAATATAGACAGACATCAGGATACATGTGTGAGGTTAAAGGTGTTTTTGACAACACGGGCCAAGTCGGGCCGAACAGCGACTTAACACTTTTGATTGAGGCTATGTTGTGTTTGGGGGGAGAAAAGGGCTTCACTTTACCGAACCAGTTATCTTTACATGTGGCATTTTGTAACATCACACATTGATATTTAAGTAGATATAATACTAATCTATGGAATTAATCACAAATCAGGATACATGTGTGAGGTTTAAGGTGTTTTTGAGAGTCCGGGCCAAGCCGGACCGAAAGCAAGACTGTGATACTCTGTGGTTGTTGAGAATGTATAGAAAATAGGGCTTCACTTTAAGCAACGTGTTTGCTTCAAATACTACGCTTTGAGACTCTGTAAAGACGTACTTAGGTAGATATAACTCTATTCTATAGATATAGACAGAAATCAGTATACATGTGTGAGGTTGAAGCGGTTTCTGACAGCCCGGACCAAGTCGGGCTGAACAGCGACTAACACTTTTGATTGAGGCTATGTTGTGTTTGGGGAGAGAAAAGGGCTTCACTTTACCGAACGAGTTGTCTGTACACGTGGCATTTTGTAACATCACACATTGATATTTAAGTAGATATAATACTAATCTATGGAATTAATCACAAATCAGGATACATGTGTGAGGTTTAAGGTGTTTTTGAGAGCCCGGGCCAAGCCGGACCGAAAGCATGTTATACTATGTGGTTGTTGAGAATGTATAGAAATTAGGGCTTCACTTTAAGCAACGTGTTTGTTTCAAATACTACGCTTTGAGACTCTATAAAGACGTACTTAGGTAGATCTAACACTAATCTATGGATATTGACACTTTTCAAGATACATGTGTGAGGTTTAGTTTGTTTTTGACAGCACGGGCCAAGTCGGGCTGAACAGAGACTAAACACTTTTGTTTGAGGCTATGTTGTGAATGGAGAGAGAAAAGGGCTTCACTTTAACGGAGCAGGTTTCTTTACATGTGGCATTTTGTAACATCACACAGTGATAATTAGGTAGATATAATACTAATCTATGGAATTAAACACAAATCAGGATATATGTGTGAGGTTTAAGGTGTTTTTGAGAGCCCGGGCCAACAGGACAGAAAGCATGTTATACTATGTGGTTGTTGAGAATGTATAGAAATTAGGGCTTCACTTTAAGCAACGTGTTTGCTTCAAATACTACGCTTTGAGACTTTATAAAGACGTTCTTAGGTAGATAATTCTATTCTAGAGATATAGACAGAAATCAGTATACATGTGTGAGGTTGAAGCTGTTTCTGACAGCACGGGCCAAGTCGGGCTGAACAGAGACTAAACACTTTGTTTGAGGCTATGTTGTGAATGGAGAGAGAAAAGGGCTTCACTTTAACGGAGCAGGTTTCTTTACATGTGGCATTTTGTAACATCACACATTTATATTTAAGTAGATATAATACTAATCTATGGAATTAAACACAAATCAGGATACATTTGTTGGGTGAAAGATGTTTTTGACAGCCCGAGCCAAGGCTGACCGAACGCTTGTGGTACAGTGTCTTTGTTGAGAATATGTAGAAAAAGAGAGCTTCCCTTTCAGCAACGTTTTGCTTAAAATGCTACGCTTTGAGACTCTGTAAAGTGGTATGTAGGTACATATATTACTAATCTATGGACATAAACACATTTCAAGATACACGTGTGAGGTTTAGGTTGTTTTGACACCACGGGCCAAGTCGGGCTGAACAGAGACTAAACACTTTTGATTGCGGATTTTGTTTTCCGAGGACTTTTTCCCCCTAAATTGTTGGGAATGGAGAGAGAAAGGGGCTTCACTTTTACTTTACTTTATGAAGTGGTATTTAGGTAGATATAATACCATTTTGTGTTTCATGTGTATTAGTAAATATAAGCATATGCATACGCGCTGGCTATCTGATTTGGACTGGTATTGTTTTACAATGAAAACACATAAAATTTTTGTGTTTGTGAATGCATACTTTGTTTGATCCTTAATAACATATAACAAAATGTTGTGATTTCAAATATTTCTTTTAATATACATAATCATGTCATATTTGCCCATTGACACTCGCCGGCATCCACGTCTCTTTAACATAAACATCCTGTGCTCATTCAGCATGAGACAATAAAGGTTAATTAGGGAACCCCAATATCTTAATTAAGGAAAGAAAAGCAGTCAAAACACTGTCACTTCCTGCCCAGGACCCCAGGATGTCACACGCTAAGAGAAGTAAGCAACCTTCCCTCATAGACATATCAAGGAAAACACATAACAAGACGGTGTCTTTTCTACAGGAATCTCGGTATGTAGTCATTGTTGTTGTTTTTTTCACCATTAACTATATATTTTCAATCAAACTATGCATTTGAGAAGGCAGGAAAAGTATCGACCCAAATGTGCAGGTTTCGTTTTAATATTCTGCAATCCATTTTTAGTATTACCCGGTGGCCCGGCCCGGCCCGACTTTTCTTGGCCCGACTTTTAGGCCATCCCGTTCGATTGGGATTGTGAAACTGGTTTTGGTTTCAGAAACTGGTTTCTCCTGTTATAAACGAGTGTCTGTTTTCGGCTGCATGGTTTCAAAGTGAAACTATTTTATAGTTTTATAAACGAGTTGATGGTTTCACCATCCGGTTTCAAAATGGATACCAGGCAAATGTCTCAGCTACTGTATATGTTGAACAAATTGAATGACAGCATTGCCCAAGGTAATATATTTGTCATTTTATCAGTGAATTAACAAACAATAGAGAGATGAGATGCTTTTGGAGGTAAATATTTGCGTATATGTAATTATACTGTTACAAGTCATTATACATATACAAGTTACATAAAATAGTCATGTTCAATATACTAGAGTTTTAAATAATATTTTCCCAGTTCTCAGTTGATTTTTATCATTATTTTGGTTACAGGAACTGCTTCTCTATTTAGCCACTAAGATCAGCTGAACCTGGCGCTTTCGTTTCCGCCATGTTTGTTGTGAGAGAACGCGAAACCGAAACTGCGAAACCTGCCTCGGAGATGGTTTCGAAGTTTCAGAGCCCAGTTTTAGGTCATAATCGAGTGCATGGTTTTCTCGAAACCAAAACCGGTTTAGCATAATCGAATAGGCCCTTAGGTGCCTGACTTTGAGGGTGTGGGTTCGAATCCCGGATGGGACTCAACCCAATAAAAAAAAACCTCGTAGAATCTGTACTTTACTGAGAACGTGTTATCCCAAATACAACATATGCTACATTTGACCACTTTCAAAATGGCTTTGTGTGTCCATAATTTGTAATATGTAAACTTTATTTGCAACAGGAGAGCTCCGAATTAGTACTTACCTTGTATTCCTTAGCTCGTCAGTTAGTCAGTCAGTTAGTTAACCGGTCAGTCAGTTAATTAGTTAGCCAGTCAGCCAGTTAATTAGTTAACCAGTCAGCCAGTTAATTAGTTAGCCAGTCAGTTAGTTATCTAGTTCTTTACTTAGTCAGTCAGCTAGTTAACAAGCTAGTCAGTTAATTAGTTTACTAGTCAGTTAGTTGGCCATGCAGTCAGTAAGCTAGTTCGTTAGTTAGTCAGTTAGTTAACCAGTCAGTCAGTTAACTAGTTAGCAAGTTAGTTAACCAACCAACCACTCAGTAAGTCAGTCAGCCAGTTAGTTTTACTATCACACTTTACCCTTTAGTGTCCTTGTGATATTACGTCGCTAAATAAGTGTAATAATCCTGAACGCGACATTAACCCCCACCCCCTCTCAACTCTTAGTACTAATTAGCTCTAGGAATAGTTGTTTCTTATTGCCTGCAAACCAACCGTGCACGTAAGTGTGAATGATATGTCAAAGCTATTTAAATCTTATTACTTAAAATTAACTACATCTTAATATGTCTTAACTAAATAATCAGTTACGTAGCTTGTGCCAGATTACATGTGGTTCATTCACTTAGTCCCGTCAGTTGGTAACACGGTAGTTGTACCATAGTCCTGCAGATACTTGGAGTGTAGGTTCCGCAGTCAGTGTTGTTTCTCGGATTGTTGGTGCTACTATCTCTGTTTGTTGTTCCATTTCCCCGTTTTCACCACACCTAGCTTCCAATAGCTATTACATACTGCCACAATTTGCACGAATAACACTTGCTATTAATCATTAGAAACACCTTAGTATCATTTCTTAGGAGGGTTAGTTAGCATTAAATCAGGGTTAGTCCATATCTAGGCATTAGTCTCAGGTAAATTTGCGGTCAGAATAAATACATACCGTAAGAATCTGGGTTGGTCCATATCTTTATAACTTTTTCGCCAACTAGTCTTATCAGTAAATGTGATTATTATTAGGTATCATTCGGCCAACAGTCACACATTATTCGGTTGCTGTGTCATCGTGTATTCTCTAAGATACAGTGAAACCTGTCTAAACCGACACCCCATGGGACCGAAATAAAATGCCGGTTTAGACAGGATGCCGGTTTAGACATATGCCGGTGTTGACAGGTTTCACTGTATTGTGTTTTGTGGCCAAGTTTATGGAAATATATCTCACGCGCGAAATTTAGAACCACACAACCTCGTTCCAACTTATGTTTTAACTTTTCAGGAAACGCTTTCCCTTTGCAGTAATGTTTCGCGAAACCTGGAGATGTCCTCGTCAGAAACGGAACTTCCGCCTCTTTGGCCTTGTCGCCATCGTCGCTCTACTGCTGTCGCTGCAGGCTCTACTAACGCCGCCAGTAGAGACGTGGTTACCCAGAATTCTCAAACACGCTCCCCGGAAACGAGGAACATTTGTGCAGAAATTCCCCAAAACCAGAACCAACTTGAACAGAACATTACAGGTCCTGCTTTGGACGCCATGGTTTGGTGATGCATCCTGGGTAACTGACTTTTCGTCCGCATTTTCATCCTGCCCAGTGTCCGACTGTGTGTTGACCAGCGACAAGTCGACCATAGCTCACAGTCACGCTGTAGTGTTTCATGCCATGGATTTACTGAATTCTTTCATAGGATACCCCATGCCAGAATATCGTAGGACAGACCAAGTGTGGGTTTTGTATAACATCGAACCGCCTCCTAACATTGCCAAAGACTTCCGGTCGTACGGGGACGTGTTCAATTGGACGCTAATGTACAGGGAGGACAGCGACATACAGCTGCCGTATTTCCAAATAGAGAAGCTGCCCCAGAAACTGACCAAAGTAAAGGACATTGCTGCCACAAAAACAGCAGGGGTCTACTGGGTGGCCAGTAACTGTGGTGACCAAGCAAGACGACAGATGGTAGTGAGAGAATTACAGAAACACATCCAAGTAGATACGTATGGGAAATGTGGGGATTATGAATTAAATAACATGGCTGACACAAAGCATTACAAATTTTATATGGCTTTAGAAAATTCATACTGCCGTGACTATATAACTGAAAAGTTTAGTGCTTCACTGGCTAAGTGGCAGATCCCTATTGTTGCTGGGGGCGGGGACTACAACAAGGTGGCGCCCCCGCACTCCTTCATTGACATCAGCGACTTCAACACCCTCCAGGAGCTGGCAGAGTACCTCAGGTATCTGGACAAGAATGACACTGCTTATAACAGTTATTTTGACTGGCACCGAGAATATCGCCTGATCGGGAGCAATCACATCGAGAATTTGTTCTGTAAGCTGTGCGAAGCTCTCCATGATAAGACCCGCCCACATCAGACTTACACGGATATACAGGGATATATAGAGGACGACACATGCCAGCAATGGACGGTAGGTGTTCTACATAGACGGAGGTGTTCTACGTATGCGACATGTCATGCACGCATTCACACGTGCATCTATTTTCTTGGATGTCTCTTGTTTCTCGGATAACCACATAGCCGATCTTCGCCAGAACAGCCTTTTTAAACGTCGATACTGTAATCGTCTCTTACACGGTAGATGTTCAACATAGACGACATGTATTCTAAATAGACGGTAGATGTTCAGTATAGACGATAAGTGTTCCATGTAGACCGCACGTGTTCTGTATAGATGGCAGGTGTTCTATATAGACTGTAGGTGTTCTATATAGACGACATGTGTTCTACATAGACGGTAGGTATTCTATGTAGACATGTCTTTTAAATAGACGTTAGGTGATCTACATTGACGGTAGGTGTTCTGTATAGACAGTAGGTTTCTTTATAGACGTCATGTGTTTTAAATAGACGGTAGGCGATCTACATTGACGGTAGGTGTTCTAGATAGACGGTAGGTGTTCTATATAGACCTTAGATGTTCTGTATAGATGGTATGTGTTCTACATAGACGGTATGTGACCGTATGGCAGGTGTTCTATTTAGACTGTAAGTGTTCTATATAGACATGTGTTCTACATAGACGGTAGATGTTCTATTTAGACATGTGTTTTAAATAGACGGTAGATGATCTACATTGACGGTAGGTGTTCTATTTAGACATGTGTTTTAAATAGACGGTAGATGATCTACATTGACGGTAGGTGTTCTATTTAGACATGTGTTTTAAATAGACGGTAGATGATCTACATTGACGGTAGGTGTTCTATTTAGACATGTGTTTTAAATAGACGGTAGGCGATCTACATTGACGGTAGGTGTTCTGTGTAGACGGTAGGTTTCTTTATAGACGTCATGTGTTTTAAATAGACGGTAGGCGATCTACATTGACGGTAGGTGTTCTGTGTAGACGGTAGGTTTCTTTATAGACGTCATGTGTTTTAAATAGACGGTAGATGATCTACATTGACGGTAGGTGTTCTGTGTAGACGGTAGGTGTTCTATATAGACTATAGGTGTTCTGTATGGACGGTAGGTGTTTTTCAGGGTTGGTGTTAATCTGGGATGACAATGTCGAAAACAGCCTAAGTCGATTTACGTTTAATATATAAATATCATAATTGTCGATTGTGGTACAGAGTGAAAAACATGGTATATTGTAACATGTATCTCTGTTAATGCCCATCATATCGACAGAACGCACGCGCACACGCAAACGCACACGCACAGAGAGGGCTTTTGAGGCTGATGTTGCACGTTTTTTCTCCCACAGCTACCTGGGTTCCTCTACCAACACATACAAGGTTACGGCATCAAGCTGGGTGTGATATGACATTCTGACGTCTCTTTGACGGTTGGAAGTTCGCCTACAAATTCTTACTGGGTTCCAGTCAAGCAACGTGTGTTGGATATGGCGATATTAAAACACAAAGCTAGTTTGTCCTCGGTATCCACTGAAACGGAGTAAAATTTCTTCAGTTCCAAATTTTCATCCGAAGTGCAATTTGTTGTATGTATCGCACAAAGCTAATGCAGATATGCCTCCGTGCTTGTTTACATTCGTCAATACAGGTTCTGCGCATGTGTGTTACCCTGATAAGCTGAGAAACCAGTGCTAAATCACCTATTTTACCCACAAGCCTATGCGATGCTTGTGTTCCGGTTTGGAATGTTTCCGGAAAACCAAGCACTCTGTGTATTGGGCGGTCTGATTCAGAGACTCGGCTGATTGCTTGAACTTTCAATCAATGGTTTGCCTGGTCCAGATTGTTTACTGACCGCTGGGCTATGGGTAGGAGGTGTGTCAAGGGATCTACTGTCTTGGCGAGGCATGAGCTCTCAGACTGCGGACTTCATTTCACAATGTGCTACCTGTTAGAACGTTGAAATGCTCAACAAAAGGAACCAGTGATTCCATCAAGTGTTGGTACCAAATTGTGGGAGAAGACCTTTGCAGACCTGTTCACATGGAATGGATCTGACTACTAAAAGTGACTGGTTACTATTCACATTACGTGGAAGTGGTGATGTTGCATAATACTCTAAGTAGAATAGTTACAAGCCACATTAAGTCCATTTTTACAAGACATGGAATACTCACGGAACTCGGAAGTGACAATGGTCTACAGTTTTCGTCAAAGGTGTTTCAAGAGTTTGCAAGAGAATTGGGACTTACACTCACAAGTATCAGTCCTTATCATTCACAGCCAAAAAGACTTGCAGAGAAATCTGCTCCAATTGTGAAGAAAATGTTGGAGTGAGTGAGTGAGGTAGTTTCACGTCGCTTTTAGCAGTATTCCAGCAATATCGCGACGGGGACATCAGGAATGGGCTTCACACATTATACCCATGTTGGGAATCGAACCCGGGTCTCCAGCGTGACTAGCCACCGCTTAAACCACTAGTCTACCCCACCTCCCCTGAATGCTAGAGAAAGATCCTCATCGCAGTATACTTGAACACAGAAACACCCTTGGATGGTATAACCTGCTCAAATACTCCTGAGTACACGTCGTGCTGGTTGACAGTGTGTGTCTGTGTAAATAGTTCCGTTAGCAATGTGTTGCGGGATATTTTTTAAAGCATTATTTTTAAAAGTTATTTTCCATTTGTATATTTTGCGTTTATGGTGTTCTAGTTATAAAACAATGTACACAGTTTTCGGAAATCCGATGCGTGGAATTTAAGTGTTCAAAGCCTTAACGTAATACGAAAACATTTAACACTTCAGACAAATAACTTACAAACAAATCTATAGTTAAAACACGCACGTACGCACGCGTGCATTTTCTTGGATGTGTCTTGTTTCTCGGATAACCACCAAGCCGATCTTCGCCAAGACAGCCTTTTTAAACGTCGAATCTTACTCTATCCGCTTTCATATTTCTTAATATACTGAACATTTATACATGGATCTATAACCGTCTATTCACGGTTTAGTTTATGACCTTTTTCAGTAGTATTATTGTAGATTTATTTGGATAATAACGGAAAGTTAAAGATTACGTACTCTCAATGTATAATCTTAATTTGAAATATTCAACTTCTTCGGACGGCCACGTAAACCGTGATAAATATGCAGACCGACCTCGCCTTTATCTCGCTGGTATCCCAAGTACACTGTCGTCAGGCTCCTCATTGTTCTCGGTGCCCTTGGTTTCGGTACCTCCTGATCTCTTGGCGCAGATCAGGAGAGTGCCCGGGTTCCCCACCGGAAACACAACCCTTCTGACACTCTGGGTAATGCAGAAGGCTGCAGTGTTGGGGAGTCTACATATTTTTCGGAAAGTACTGGGTGGGGTTCCACTAGGCAGCGTTCCCATTCGCTGTCTGGGCTGCGTGTAGAGGGGGCAAGGGCCTGAGCTGATGATGAGCATTACCGGCCTGACTGTGCCACGATCACCCAAACCCTCTCTGCTGCATTTTTCATCTTTAATCTGTAAAACATAATAATAATAATTATGTCGACTTTGCAATGAATTCACAGAGACTGTCCAACACCTTGTCAGTGGATGCCCTTCCCTGGCACAAACAGCATATCTGAAAAGACATGATGGCATGGCTCGTTGGTTGTGGTTTTGACTCCGAGGTCCATCCATGGTACGACCTTGAACATGTCCAGGGAGTCATGGAAAATGATGCTTTCAAACTTCTGTGGAATAGGCCCATATACAGCCTCAGAAGAATTCCTGCTAACAAACCTGATCTTGTCCTTTTTGATAAAGCCAATGAATTTATTTAGATCATTGAACTCCCTGTCCCTTTTGACAGCAACGTGATTGGCAAGATTCAGGAAAAGCATGATAAGTATGCGGACCTCGCCTTTGAAATGTCTCGCTTGCATCCCAAGTACACTGTCGTCAGGCTCCCCATTGTTCTCGGTGCCCTTGGTTTGGTACCTCCTGATGTCTTGGCGCAGATCAGGAGAGTGTCCGGGTTCTCCACCGGGAGTACAGCCCTACTGACACTCTGGGTAATGCAGAAGGCTGCAGTGTTGGGGAGTCTACACATTCTCCGCAAAGTTCTTCGTGGGTTCGACTAGGCAGTGTTTCCTGGGAGAAGTCCCATTCGCTGTCTGGGCTGCGTGTAGAGGGGGCAAGGGTCCTGAGCTGATGATGAGCTTTACCAGCCTGACTGTGCCAGGATCACCCGAACCTTCTCTGCTGCATTTTCATCTTTAATCTGTAAAACATAGTAATAGCATGCTTGTAATGCGCTGTTTTCCATGTACAACATGCTCAAAGCGCAAGACATACAAGTATATACAAAACAGACACTGAGAGGGAATAGAAGATTAGAGATACATGGAACACAATTCAATGAATTTATTTTTGCACTCATAGGCTAATCTGAAGAAGTGAGTCTTTAGTAAAGATTTGAAATTAGAAAGTTCTGTAGAGTCACGTAGATATTGAGGCAGTTGATTCCAGGTTGTAAAGGCTGCATACAAAAAGGACCTTTCACCATAGAAGTCCTCACAGTTAGGATAACGAGGAAACGTGTATCCTGTGAACGGAGAGAGCGACATGGGCGGTGCTGTGTGAGGGACATGGGCGGTGCTGCGTGAGGGACATGGGCGGTGCTGTGTGAGGGACATGGGCGGTGCTGCGTGAGGGACATGGGCGGTGCTGTGTGAGGGACATGGGCGGTGCTGTGTTAGGGACATGGGCGGTGCTGTGTGAGGGACATGGGCGGTGCTGTGTGAGGGACATGGGCGGTGCTGTGTGAGGGCCTGGGCCGCGGTGCTGTGTGAGGGACATGGGCGGTGCTGTGTGAGGGACATGGGCGGTGCTGTGTGAGGGACATGGGCGGTGCTGTGTTAGGGAAATGGGCGGTGCTGTGTGAGGGACATGGGCGGTGCTGTGTGAGGGACATGGGCGGTGCTGTGTGAGGGCCTGGGCCGCGGTGCTGTGTGAGGGATATGGGCGGTGCTGTGTAAGGGACATGGGCGGTGCTGTGTGAGGGACATGGGCAGTGCTGTGTGAGGGACTGGGCCAGATACGAAGGGGCAGATCCAGACAGACTGCGGAAAGTGAGGCACAGAAGCTTGAATTGAATCCTGTAGTGAATGGGCAGCCAGTGTTAAGAATGTAGGAGTTTCAGAGCGTCGTCAGATTTTCGTGACTGGGTCACTACACGTGCAGCAGCATTCTGCATACGCTTAAGTTTCCTTATCTGTATCTTAGTGGCACCAGCGAGAAGAGAGTTGCAGTTATCAGTCCTGCTCATAACTAGAGACAGGACAAGAGTGGTGGCAGATTCGGTGGTGAGGTATGGTCAGATATGTCCAATAGTACGCAGTTGAGCAAAGCAGCTCTGGACTAGATGGGAAACATGATCATCCAGTGACACATCTGAGTCGATAATCACACCAAGGTCTTTGATCTTGTCAGCAATTTGGATGTGTGCATTATCAAACTAAAAAGATGTAAGACCAGACTGTGATCTCCTTTTCTGTGGCCCTAGGACAATGCATTCCGTCTTGTCATTATTCAGTTTTAGTTTGTTGTAATACATCCACGCCTTGATGTCTTCACAACAAGTGCTCAATTCATTCAAAGCCCTGTGCGCCTGAAGTGGCTTTGACTCCATGGATCTGTAGACCTGAGAGTCATCAACATAGTGATGTCTGTCCCCTTCATGTCTTTCCACGACACTTCCAAGTTCCTTCATATACAAGGTGAAAAGAACCGGTCCTAAGGCGGATCCTTGTGGAACCCCACACGTAAGATATGATGGGTCAGATGACAACTTGTCAATGATTACACACTGACTTCTATCGGACAGGTACGATTTTAACCACTCTAAAGCTGTTCCATCGATGAGAAATTCCAACCTCAGACGTTCCAGAAGTTTGCAGTGATCGATGGTGTCAAATGCACTGCTTAGGTCAAGAAGTACCAAAACTGCAAGATTCTTGTTATCGATGCCAAGCCAAATGTCACTGATCACTTTCAGTAATGCAGGCTCGGTGCTATGATGGCTACGGTAGGCGGACTGGAGATGATCATGAAGGTCACGTTTATCAAGATGATCATGAATGTCTGGTTTATCAAGATGATCATGAACGTCACGTTTATCAAGATGATCATGAAGGTCATGTTTATCAAGACGATCATGAAGGTCATGTTTATCAAGATGATCATGGAGGTCACGTTTATCAAGATGATCATGAAGGTCACGTTTATCAAGACGATCATGAAGGTCATGTTTATCAAGATGATCATGAATGTCACGTTTATCAAGATGATCATGAAGGTCATGTTTATCAACAAGATCGTGAAGGTCATGTTTATCAAGATGATCATGAATGTCACGTTTATCAAGATGATCATGAAGGTCACGTTTATCAAGATGATCATGAAGGTCATGTTTATCAAGATGATCATGAATGTCATGTTTATCAAGATGATCATGAAGGTCATGTTTATCAAGATGATCACGAATGTCATGTTTATCAAGATGATCACGAAGGTCATGTTTATCAAGATGATCATGAATGTCATGTTTATGAAGATGATCATGAATGTCATGTTATCAAGATGATCATGAAGGTCATGTTTATCAAGATGATCATGAAGGTCATGTTTATCAATATGATAATGAAGGTCACGCTTATCAAGATGATCATGAATGTCACGTTTATCAAGATGATCATGAAGGTCGCGTTTATCAAGATGATCATGAACGTCATGTTTATCAAGATGATCATGAATGTCATGTTTATCAAGATGATCATGAAGGTCATGTTTATCAAGATGTTCAGAAAGTCATGTGCATGCAGCACGCTCAACTAACTTGGAAAGATAACTGAGATTAGATATAGGCCGGTAGTTGCCAAGCAGATCAAAGTCGAAGTTTGGCCTTTTCAGGAGTGGATTCACTAGAGCTGACTTAAAGGAAGACGGCACTATTCCATATTCAAGACTAATGTTGATGATTTTTGTAAGAATCGGAATTAAAAGATCAATGTTATCAAGGATGATTGGTGTGGGCACAGGATCCAAGTCACAGAAAGTAGGATTGGACTTCCGAAAATTTTCAACACTTCATCGCAGGTGAATTTGTTGAAAGTCACCAGTTTCTCCGAGCAATCATCACTTAGTTCAGTAGAGTGCGTATCCGTGCTGGTCTCACGTTCGCAAGAAGAATCTGCAGGCATCATGCCAGCACGTATCTTGGCAATCTTCTCTGTAAAGAATTGCTGGAACTGGTTGGGCAGCACCTCGGGAAAGTCTGTTTCCGGCAGTGGTGAAGTGAACTCCTTACGAAGAAGGCGGGACATGAGTCTGTACAGCGATCTTGTGTCAGACATTGAATCCTGGATTAGACAGTTCAGTGACATCTGTTTGGCCTGCCTTATGAAAGACGTCACTTTATTTTTCGCAACACAGTAAATTTGCCTGTGGATTTCAAGATGGGAGCGTCTCCAAGCTTTCTCAGCATGGCGCCTGGCTTTCTTCGCAGCGATAACTTCCGGTGTTACAGACAATGGTGTAACCGGGTGATCTGTTACACGCTTCGATCTCAGTGAGGCATATTTATCTAAGAGTTCAATGAGGACACACTTATATTTGCCCACGAGTTTGCTAATATCGGACGGTGGTTTCTGTATGAGATCAGAATTTGACAAATCACGTCTAAACGCATCTCGATCTATATGTTTTAGATTCTGACACTGAAAGAACTTCTTGTGGAGGTTTTATAGTGGAGTGGAGGTTTTATAGTGCGAGATCTCCACGCCATGAAGGATTCAAAGCGCATTATTATTAACCTGGATAACCCAAGCTGCCTGTTGGGCGCTAGAAGGTTATAGTTACATGAATTTATCCCACCTGGTACCCACTTTCTGCTGGGTGAACAGAGGCAATTTTGAACAAACTCATTTGTCAAAGGTGAGACCACATTTATCACATATGCTTCGTTGAGGGGCAGGACTGAAGTCCTAGAAACTAGAGCTGATGAAAAACATGGTCACCCATCCAACGTTGCTTAACTTCAACTGATTTGTGACTTGAACTTGACGCACACCAAGAAGATCCGGGTTAGAATTGATCTTCTAGCTTCTCGCAAGAGGCGACTAACGGAATCGGGTGCTCAGGCTCACTGACTTGGTTGACACATGTCATTGTATCCAAATTGGGTAGACTGATGCTCATGCCGTTTATCACTGGATTGTCTGCTCGAGACTCGATTATTTGAGGACCGCCGCCGTATAGCTGTAATACTTCTGAGTTTGGCGTAAAACTAAGTCACTCACTCATGCTATTCAACAAAACCGTTGGTTTGTGCATGCCTGCAGCAGTGATGGTCCCAGAAAGGACGCAGCATTACCTAGTCTCTCTCAAGTAATTTCTCAGGAAATGTGAAACGGTCCCATGTAGACAGGGGTTTGTATTTGCGTACATAACAACACACAATAGTTTTATCATGGTCTGTGAAGGAGGCCTGTGAGTACAAGAATCCACCCCTTCCCTCCCAGCCCTTGTCTGTATCACTGCAGGAAAAACAGCTGTTCTATCTGGGCCAGAAACCAATGCTTGGTAGCATGAGGACCTTGGTGATGGGGAACAATGACAACGTGGTCTCAACAACTACAATCTTAGTAGGTACCTGCCATCTTTGTGAGAACCTGCTGAGATAGAAATCCTCGATACCAATCTAAGTGGGTCTCACACAGAACCCATGCATGGTCCTAACTGTATCACCTAGACCCCAATCTAAGTGGGTATCACCCAGAACCCATGCATGGTCCTAACTGTATCACCTCCACCCCAATCTAAGTGGGTCTCACCCAGAACCCATGAATGGTCCTAACTGTATCACCTCCACCCCAATCTAAGTGGGTCTCACCCAGAACCCATGCGTGGTCCTAACTGTATCACCTCCACCCCAATCTATGTGGGTCTCACCCAGAATCCATGCATGGTCCCAACTGTATCACCTCCACCCCAATCTAAGTGGGTCTCACCCAGAACCCATGCGTGGTCCTAACTGTATCACCTCCACCCCAATCTAAGTGGGTCTCACCCAGAACCCATGCATGGTCCCAACTGTATCACCTCTACCCCAATCTAAGTGGGTCTGACCCAGAACCCATGCATGGTCCTAACTGTATCACCTCCACCCCAATCTAAGTGGGTCTCACCCAGAACCCTGACATGGTCCTAACTGTATCACCTCCACCCCAATCTAAGTGGGTCTCACCCAGAATCCATGCGTGGTCCTAACTGTATCACCTAGACCCCAATCTAAGTGGGTCTCACCCAGAACCCATGCATGGTCCTAACTGTATCACCTAGACCCCAATCTATGTGGGTCTCACCCTGAACCCTGACATGGTCCTAACTGTATCACCTCCACCCCAATCTATGTGGGTCTCACCCTGAACCCATGCATGGTCCTAACTGTATCACCTCCACCCCAATCTAACTGGGTCTCACCCTGAACCCATGCATGGTCCTAACTGTATCACCTCCACCCCAATCTAACTGGATCTCACCCAGAACCCATGCATGGTCCTAACTGTATCACCTCCACCCCAATCTAAGTGGGTCTCACCCAGAATCCATGCATGGTCCTAACTGTATCACCTCCACCCCAATCTAAGTGGGTCTCACCCAGAACCCATGCATGGTCCTAACTGTATCACCTCCACCCCAATCTAAGTGGGTCTCACCCAGAATCCATGCATGGTCCTAACTGTATCACCTCCACCCCAATCTAAGTGGGTCTCACCCAGAATCCATGCATGGTCCTAACTGTATCACCTCCACCCCAATCTAAGTGGGTCTCACCCAGAATCCATGCGTGGTCCTAACTGTATCACCTCCACCCCAATCTAAGTGGGTCTCACCCTGAACCCTGACATGGTCCTAACTGTATCACCTCCACCCCAATCTAAGTGGGTCTCACCCAGAACCCTGACATGGTACTAACTGTATCACCTCCACCCCAATCTAAGTGGGTCTCACCCAGAACCCTGACATGGTCCTAACTGTATCACCTAGACCCTAATCTAAGTGGGTCTCACCCAGAACCCATGCGTGGTCCTAACTGTATCACCTCCACCCCAATCTAAGTGGGTCTCACCCAGAACCCTGACATGGTCCTAACTGTATCACCTCCACCCCAATCTAAGTGGGTCTCACCCAGAACCCTGACATGGTCCTAACTGTATCACCTCCACCCCAATCTATGTGGGTCTCACCCAGAACCCTGACATGGTCCTAACTGTATCACCTAGACCCCAATCTAAGTGGGTCCTATTCTCACCCAGAATCCATGCATGGTCCTATCTGTACCACCTCGACCCCAAACTAACTTCTAAGTGGGTCTCACCCAGAACCCATGCATGTTCCCAATCACATCCCCACAACCCCAATCTAAGTGAGACCCTATTATGACCCAGGACCATGACATGGGTACAACCATACCATCTCACCTCCAATTTTCGTGGGACCCTATGATCACCCAGAACCCCCGACATGGCCCCAACTATAATATGTGAGACATATAGCACCCAAGTCTAGACTTGAACATGGATCTTCTGCATGACTGACACTTCATCCACTTGACTAACCCACATCTCTTGACTAAGGATTTCTGGGTAGGCAGGTGTGGTGACTTACATTACAGACATAATTCATTCAACAAAACACATGTCAAAATAAAATAATTTATTGAGTTGAGACATAGCAAGATGATGTGTTCACATCACATACAGCTGTACACGTCTCTCAAAATGGAGGCTGTCTCGCACCCGAACGTTCATCCATCAGGTGTCAAATGTTTAGACACCTGACTTCATCTACGAGCCAAGACAGCCACCAGATGGCAGGACATGCACAAATAGATTACGCACATTATGTTCAGAAGAAACTAAACAATAAGAAACTAAGATACACCCATGCTACAAGTTCCAAGTAACGATATCCCTGATCCCATTCGAAAACAAGATGCAAAACAGATTGAGCAAAGTAAGAAATGTTCTCATAGTTTATGAATAAAGAAACTTAAATCATGTTTTCACAGTTGCAAGAAGAACACTGTCAAGACAATAACATCAATAAATAATGGAAACAACCTAATAAATATCATTTAACAACATGATCACTTAACAAATTCCTAAACAACCATTACAGTTAAGTTCCTGACGCATTGGCCACAAGCAGAACCAAAGTATTCTTAAAAATTGCAGGGAGTTTCACAACTTCATTCTGTTTAATCACTATCACCAACAGATATAGAAACTTGAAATTAAGGTTTGTCAAAAGTTTATAAAAAATATCATTTTCTAAGTAGTTTTCCATATTTTCTCAAAATCACAACATCACCAAAAAGAAATGTTTTTTTCCACTCAATTTCTGACCCCAATAAGTACTGAAGCCAACCATTCCTCAGTTCATTCTAGTGGTTTCTTTTTTACATCAAAAGTTTGCAAAACAATGAATTTATTTCTCAGAGAAGTACTCAAAACTCTCCCTGAAATCAATGAACAGTTGAAGAATAAATATTTCGATGTCAAAACTATGTATCAAATATATGTGGTGTAATATCAAAGGGAGATAGTATATTCCCAAAATATAGAAATATTTAGCAAAATATATCAAATTGTTCCATATCAAATATTCAAGTCCCAATCAAACTGAATTCAGATGCAGTGGAATACGCTTTTTTTCTGTCCCTTATTTCATGTTTCTGTCAAGTTGATCAAAAGATCTTCAGTTTCTCAACATGCACATTCCAAACTGAACATGGTTGACACAAATCTGACTCTTGTGAAATTACATCTATTATAAACATAAAAAGTGGTTTTACATTCTATTCATTATACCATGACAACACATATAAATACACTTACATTCATTCGAAAAAGAAATATTGCATATGAACTTGCAGTAGTAGGTGACAATATGATAACTTTAACCAATATTTTTTACTGCAATACAAAGTTGTAAAATAACACCTTAACTATGTTCCAAGATAATTAGCAGAAATATTTTTGTTTCAATTTCACATTTCCATTTCCAAAACAGCACCAAATCAAAATAAATGGTTTGACAAATAACTTATGTCATCTTTTACTTCGAGTATAATTGGACTAGTTATGTTGTATCTGTAGTTAAAGCTAATTATTACTTTAACATGTTAAAGTTCATCTCTTGATTCTGCATTTCCTTGTTTAATACCCTCTAATAATGCTTCTTCTTCCTCCTTCTGCTTCTGTGCTGCTTCTTCCCATTTCTTTAAATCTTCATCAATCTGTGACTCTGTTTTTTCTGTGTATGGACCATCCTGATGATCGTCTGGAACGTTCTCTTCAGCATCGCCTTTCTTAAAAAATCCCTTTCTTAACACAAGTCTTGTGCACTCATTCTGAGTTAAACCAGACAGATCATGTTTCTGCAAATACGAAAGATTTGATAAGATCACAAAAATGGGTGTGTGTCTTCTGGCAATATCTGGAGGTCACAAAAAACACAATGTGTCCCACCCTCCACGCCCTCATCCCACCCTCATTGATGGACCCAACCTCAACAAACTCATCACTAGACCCACGCTCCATGCCCTCGTCCCTTGACCCAACCTCGACAAACTCATCGCTAGACCTACGCTCCATGCCCTCGTCCCTTGACTCAACCTCGACAAACTCATCACTAGACCCACCCTCCATGCCCTCGTCCCTTGACCCAACCTCGACAAACTCATCACTAGACCCACCCTCCATGCCCTCGTCCCTTGACTCAACCTTGACAAACTCGACACTAGACCTACGCTCCATGCCCTCGTCCCTTGACCCAACCTCGACAAACTCATCGCTAGACCAACCCTCCATGGCCTCGTCCCTTGACCCAACCTCGACAAACTCATCACTAGACACAACCTCCATGCCCTCGTCCCCTTGACCCAACCTCCCGACAACTCATCACTAGACACAACCTCCATGCCCTCTTGACTCAACCTCGACAAACACATCACTAGACCCACGCTCCATGCCCTCGTCCTTTGACCCAACCTCGACAAACTCATCACTAGACCTACGCTCCATGCCCTCATCCCTTGACCCAACCTCGACAAACTCATCACTAGACCTACGCTCCATGCCCTCGTCCCTTGACCCAACCTCGACAAACTCATCGCTAGACCCACCCTCCATGCCCTTGTCCCTTGACCCAACCTCGACAAACTCATCACTAGACACAACCTCCATGCCCTCGTCCCTTGACCCAACCTCGACAAACTCATCACTAGACACAACCTCCATGCCCTCGTCCCTTGACTCAACCTCGACAAACTCATCACTAGACCCACGCTCCATGCCCTCGTCCCTTGACCCAACCTCGACAAACTCATCACTAGACCTACGCTCCATGCCCTCGTCCCTTGAGCCAACCTCGACAAACTCATCACTAGACCCAACCTCCATGCCCTCGTCCCTTGACTCAACCTCGACAAACTATCACTAGACCCAACCTCCACACCCTTATCGTGGAACCCACCCTCCATGCCCTCATCTCCAATGGCCCACCCTCGACACTAGATCCACCCTCATCTCCCATGGCCCACCCTCGACACTAGATCCTCCCTCCATGCTCTCATTATTTGACCCACCCTCTCCACACCCTTATCCCTTGACCCACCCCCTCATCGATGGACCCACCACCCTCCACATCACTTTAGCCACCACTCACAATGTGAACTCACCTCAACCACCTCATCTTCTGAGTTTAGGAGAAACAGCTCTGGGTTGGCACCATGCACTGTCTCGAACTTAACATTGTGACTAGAAGAGTCAAGGTCATTAACAAGTCCATTTGTCTAAATATGCAATGCAATCAGTTGGAAAGAACCTTTTGTCCATTAACATTACTGATGAACAAGTTGATTTTACAACCATAGCAAGACTTACTCTGGTATAAGGCTTAGACATTGATATTATGATCTTATTGCCAATGTTATGTATCAACATACTGTGAAACAAATTCACTTGACATCCAGTTGACAATAAGGCCTGAGGTCATTTTTGCATTACTTTGAGAAACCCATTTCTTTGTAATAATTATCCAAGATTTGTGAAAAATATTATCAAGCTATCCTTATAATTTCTTGGTTCAGAGATTTGCCAATCTGATACTTCATATGATGTGAATATATATCATAATTTCGAGGAGTTGTTTTCTTTATGACTGCTACTACAAATGTAAGTAATGACTCAACTAATGAGCATGGTGAAGATAATAGCTGATTAGTAAATCCCAAACCACTTTTCCAGTTTTCCTCTACATTACTCAACAAACATACCCATCCTACTGAGGAAGGGAGATTTATGGATGTCAACATTATTATGTGTTCCTCATAATAGAGAAGCTGACATCCATAAAAACTCTCTTCCTTATGTGTATCACTTCTAAATGCCATTGGGAAGGTGGGTAGCCTAGTGGTTAAAGCATTCGCTCATCACACGCCGCAGACCCAAGTTTGATTCCCTACATGGTTACAATGTGTGAAGCCCATTTCTGGTGTCCCCGCCATGATATTGCTGGAATGCTGCCAATAATTAAACTTTCATCAACAAGATTTGTATAACATGTAACACTTCATATACATACTTAGTTTGACCATGTTACATATTTGTGAACAGCATGATATTTGACAATGTTATCAAGGAAACACTACTTGTGTACTATGAAGCTACCTGTACTGTACTGTACTGTACTACTGAGGTAAAGTCTATAAACATCTAATACTTCATGTACATGCTTAGTTTGACCATTTTGCATATTTGGAAATAGCATGATATTTGACGTGATCGAGGAAACACTGTACTTGCATACTATGAAGCTACCTGTACTGTACTGTACTACTGAGGTAAAGTCTGTAAACTTAATTCTGGGAATAAAAACATGGAGGAAAAAAAAAAGAAAGAAAGAAATGATATTGCTGGAATATTGCTAAAAGCGGCGTAAAACTAAACTCACTCACTCTAAATGCCAGTGAAAGACCTGATATCCTACTGAGCCTTAAACATCAGGGCTCCCTTCCCAATGGTGGGCAACAGTTTGTCATGTTATCAATATTAACCATCTTAAACCTGCTGTTATAAATAACAGTAGATAAAAGTCATTTCCTCCCAAAAATATAAGTCATGAGAAAGGATACAACAGAGGGAGATCTACTCTAATAAACCTCTTGACCTCTGGTAGGCGATTCAGTCGTCATCCGGCACAACTCTGAAAGAACAGTGTTATACATGGAGTTATGTAGTATCTATTAGTTCATGTAACTCATATTCCAGTCAGTTGGGACTGGCTAAAATGATTGATAATTGAAAATATCGTCAATAGGAAAAATTATTAATGATTATCAATATGTAAGTTGTGTCATCAATAATAATATACGTTACCTTTTTTGATAGAAAATAAATTAAATTTTCTCACACAATATGCAATTTTAAGACATTATTCATGGTCTGCTTCTAAATTGTGTTCAGGATGCAGTTTTGCTTATAATCCATGCAAAAACATGTCGCCACTCACCAGTGATGATAAATATATTCATTCCTTTCAGACATTTTTTAGCACTTTTACTCGAAGTTACGGCTCCACTATTTATCGATTATTGATCAATATTTAGATCACAATTATCAATCTCTAAGATCGGCAATATTCAAGCTATATGGTGGAGGTCTGTAAATAATTGCGTTCGGACCAGACAATCAAATGATCAACAGCATGAGCATCGATCTACGCATTTGGGATGCAATGGCATGTGTCAACCAAGTCAATGAGCCTTTTACAACAAACATGGGTTCCTGAAGACCAATTTCAACCCGGATCTTTATGGGTCCTGCAGATAATTAAATCTGGGCTTGGAAAGCCTGAAACTGTCATGTTCCGAGATCCACATAAGCAAAGCGTAATTATAAAATATGCAAAGTAAACCAACATAACTTTTTTTGTTTTGCCTAAATCCATATATGTACTGGAAATTTCACCCCCCCTATATAGTCCTCCATTGTCTGTGATAACCAGGTGACTTACTCGCATATGTTTGTATCACTGACCAATCAGTGCTGTGCAATTAAACATCATTTCAATTTCTGTCTTATTAGCTGTCTTCACATTTGTGTTTGCAGCTGAAAAAGTACCAATGTAACAAGAGGCACATAGGCTGCCGAAGGCTCTTTTGTTTAAACTCATCAGTGATAATAGAAAGTTCACAATGAACAAATCATATCGAATTAGCCTTCAAGATTATGAACAAATAAATAACAGAAATAAACGTTACACTACAAAAATTAAATACACAAAATAACGCCACTATAGAAATACGATAAATGACACGGAGACACGATTCTTTGATTAATGTTGAAAGTAGTGTTTCCTCTACTGTACTGCGTTCTGTGATGGGACTCAAAGATTGGAAATTAACTTTATGAGTAATAATTCATACTGGCAAAAATATTTGATTTAGAAAAGAAATTCTTGATACTTAAGGCAATGTACCTCTGTCATATGAAACACGAAACGAAACGACAAAGGTTTGTCTTTGGACTTTTTAAACACAATCGCCCACTGTTCTGCCGTGTAAGTGCAAGTAAAACGCGCGATCATATTAACATTCCGCAAAAACATATTCCAGTGATTAAGAATTATACCTTGACTACGCCTCGCACGATATCTTTGTTCGCGACGTCCTCATTGTCGGCATACGCAATCGCCAACACCAGTGCACACGTCGACAACCAGCTTAACGCAGCCATGTTGTTTACTGAGACCTTCACCTTCAGTATTCACCAATGCGCGTTCTCCGAGTATACAGGATTGTAGGATGACCTTTGAACCTCATATGAACCAATCGCATTTCTCCACCGCTATCAATGAATTACTTTGTGTTTGTGCGATACGTTAACGCGGAAGTGAAGAATAGTTATGTAATAGTTATCAACAGTCCAGTTAATCGAACGTGTTCGAGATTCTTTTTATCACTTTTTGTCGTTTATCATGATGATGTGACTTCAGTTAACAAAAACCATCATCGTCAAAATGGGTAAAAATAAATGTCCACCTCTATCATTGTTATTGGACAGCCCCAAAATATTATTTACCCACAGCGTTTACCCTAATCTCTGTATCATCGTCAGAGAGAAACGCAATTCAACATCCAACAATTTCAGAAATAACAACAAACACGACTCTTATTATTATTCTTATTTTTATATTATCATTATAACTATTCAACTGATACTATAGTAAAGGCTGAGTGACAATGTGTGCCATGCTGGGGTCAGGTGTTCCCAGGAAGGAATGGGGACAAGTTATTTCTGACTGTTATGTAAACCCAGTGAAATAAAAGCGAGAATATAGTGAGTGAGTTTGGTTTTACGCCGCACTCAGCAATATTCTAACTATATGTCGGCAGTCTGTAAATAATCGAGTCTGGACCAGACAAGCCAGTGATCAACAGCGAGAATATAACAAACCAGGCTGTAATGATTTATACTGAAAACCCCTCCATGAAACTCACATAAAGACAGCACAGTTTCACTGCAACGTTGTTAACAAGTCGCAGCGCATTAGTGTCTAGATTTAAACCAAACAGATCATGTCCAATTACTTTGATGCGAATTGGGTTAAAACATGTTTAGAATTGTGTTTAAAGGCCATGTGCTTTTAGGATGTAAATGTCTGAAATCACCAGGACTGAACCCAGTTTAACGTCGCCTCGGGTATACGGTTCGTGAAAGTACAATAGAGTGTCCCTGCCCCTGCCCCTGCCCCTGCCCCTGCCCCCTGCCCCTGCCCCTGCCCCTGCCCTACAACTTAAAAAAAAGTGCACAGACACCAAACATGATAAAACCACACCTATGTAATTAGTGATACTAACAAATACAGGTGACATCAAACTAATCCTATTCAATAGATATTATACAAACAAAATGTACTTTATGTTTAAAGTATTACTCCTTTGAGAGGCATTCAGATGTTAGAGTACTAAAGTTAGGATATGACGGATGAACAGCTTCTTTGATATAGATGTTTCGGTGTAGGTTCTATAATGTCATAATTTGCCTGAGCCTACACCAAAACGTTGCTCCTAATTATAACATATATCTTATCCTTACTTGTGATATTGTAATTTCTTGTTCATGAGAATGAGCTTAACAGATCGCACAAACGCAACAATTTCACTTGACGTCAATAAATCTTTACGACGTGTGGCAGGTGTGGCTTTCGTTTCAAACGACACATGTCGCAATGTAACATATGTACATGTCGGCTGTAATTACCAAAAGAAATTAAGCGACAGAAATGAAGCCAGCCTTTGTTTCAACGCAACTCGTCAAATTATGACAATGACATGTCAGTTTCAACATTTAAAGTCACTATTCCTGGATGTTCCTCCACGCCATAATCAAAACATCCACTGGCATGCCACAAAGGCGCTCGAACCTGGCTAGCCGAGTACACAGTTTGAATACGACTACTGCCAAGCCCCATATCAACACGCCATGTCGACGATGAACATAGTAAGAAGTTGTATGCAGGTTAACTCCCAAAAGCAAGACCTCCCATAAGGCAGGCGCAATGAGTACACTAATTAGCTGAGCAAAGTTGTCCACCCCTATTTAATGAATGAGTTGACCCAGAGTCACAACAGAGCATGTCCCATCCCAGAAAGTTGCACCCCCAGGTACTTCTAGAGGTTGTAGGAAAAAAAGGTCATAGGAAAAAAGTCATAGATTTTGGGAGGAAAGTAAGTCACAGGAAAATAAGTCAAAAGCTAAAAAAGTCAGTATTGATAATGTATTTATTCATAACATATTATCATCAATAGCACTACATGAATATCTCGGAACCACATTTGAACCTCTTATTAAATTAATATATTTATTCAAGTATAATACAAGCATAAATAAATGGAGAATAGGACGTTTTTATAACAGGTGTTGATGAATTTATTTTTGCAAATAATTGGAGAACAGGATGTTGATGTACATATATGTTGATGCAATATGTCTTAATTTAAAATAATAATTCATTTTTCATCTGGGCACATACCACTATTATCAAGGGTACATTAATTAAGCCTGAGGCAACCAGCCATAAAATGTGTTGTTTTAAGCGGTCTGTCTTTTGGGAGGTCTGTCTTATTGGAAGATACCGTATGGCATGGACAATTTCGGTTTCGGTTTAATGGCTCACTCGAGCAATCGTGTTCTACCAACACCCGCATATATTATTACGTGCCCGAACATATAGACATAGACACGTAGTCTCAAAACATACCTTCGCCTTCTTACTTTATAAAAAAAGGTTCAGTAATAAAAATGTTCCGGTTGATATATAAAGCTAAATGTAACAAGCAGTATGACGCAAGGAGAAAATCAACATGAACAGGGAGATATGTTTAGTGAGCAGATGTGGTTTCGTGGTGAAAAGAATTTTATTCAAATGACAAATTTTAAAATTGATATTTTTAAAGTTGATTGATTTAATTTCGTCACAGCAATTGGGAGAACAGTTCGCAGAAATATATCTTCTTGAGGCAGCCAACAGTTTTCATAATATACTATACCAAAAAAGAAACGCATAGGCCAGAAATCTGTTGCGAAAATGTGGTATTTTCAAACATGTATAACTCGTCCACAAACAGACTTTCTGACATTAATTTGTACATCGGTTTAGAAGAAGGTAATGTCTATACAACCAAGTGGATAATTTTAGATAACGGAGACGTCGAGCGCGATGGTGACCACGTAGTATGGCCCTGACGTCGGGTCTCCTGGCTCTCAGTCCAATCTCTCTCAACCTGTTCCGTACAGTTTGACCGGATATCCTCCGAAGTCCAGGCACCCTGGCTGCTGTGCTCTCACCCGTGGCAGTACGACCACGCAAACGTAGTACCCGGAAGTACCGATCTTGGGCTGCAGTGGTGACTCGAGGTCTGCCTGTACAGGGACGGTCATTTGATGTACCTGTTTGGTTGTAACGAGCTGCAAGCAGTGATATCATGTTCAGACTAACATTCAGACGCCTGGCAACAAAAAATTGGTAATCTCCAGCATGCATTCTTTCAATGGCGCTGTTCCGTCTCGCAGCGTCAAGACGTGGCGTAGTGATTTTTTTTACCTTGAAACTCCTTTTAAAACGGATGCCGATTTCCGAAGGTAATCTGAATTTTTATAGTTAGACAGTACATGCTCTTTGCTGCACAATTTCAACTGGAAGGTGATTTCTGTTGCTTTGTGGCGATGCGTTTTAATTCTGGTAAGAAATCTCATCAAAATCAACTTTTTCAGGTAAAGTCGATTTTTCGCTTGTGCAATAGTGTAAAATCATGTTATCAACACTTTCGTTACATATTTTGACGATTGTTTGAATACAATTGGTAATTAATAGATTTAAAAAAATACAAAACGCCAATGCGTTTCATTTTTGGGATAGTATATATCCGGTTCCCACAAATGGTTTTGATGCCTCATGTGTTGTTTTCTGTATGTCAGATGGGTTTTCTGTATGTCAGATGGGTTTTCTGTATGTTAGATGGGTTTTCTGTATGTCAGATGGTTTTCTGTAGATGGGTTTTCTGTATGTCAGATGGGTTTTCTGTATGTCAGATGGGTTTTCTGTATGTCAGATGGGTTTTCTGTATATCAGATGGGATGGGTTTTCTGTATGTCAGATGGGTTTTCTGTATGTCAGATGGGTTTTCTGTATGTCAGATGGGTTTTCTGTATGTCAGATGGGTTTTCTGTATGTCAGATGGGTTTTCTGTATGTCAGATGGGATGGGTTTTCTGTATGTCAGACGGGATGGGTTTTCTGTATGTCAGATGGGATGGGTTTTCTGTATGTCAGATGGGTTTTCTGTATGTCAGATGGGTTTTCTGTATGTCAGATGGGTTTTCTGTACGTCAGATGGGTTTTCTGTATGTCAGATGGGTTTTCTGTATGTCAGATGGGTTTTCTGTATGTCAGATGGGTTTTCTGTATGTCAGATGGGATGGGTTTTCTGTATGTCAGACGGGATGGGTTTTCTGTATGTCAGATGGGATGGGTTTTCTGTATGTCAGATGGGATGGGTTTTCTGTATGTCAGATGGGTTTTCTGTATGTCAGATGGGTTTTCTGTATGTCAGATGGGTTTTCTGTATGTCAGATGGGATGGGTTTTCTGTATGTCAGACGGGATGGGTTTTCTGTATGTCAGATGGGATGGGTTTTCTGTATGTCAGATGGGTTTTCTGTATGTCAGATGGGTTTTCTGTATGTCAGATGGGTTTTCTGTATGTCAGATGGGTTTTACACTAGAAGCATTGGCGTGCATCAACCTGAATGACGGCTTTTCACGCGTCATATTACCAAGTAACAGTTTCATTTGTTTCGTCAAGTCCTTGATTGTAGATATTCGTGTTTCAAATGGAAATTGAAGCGATTGGATCTTTATCCCACAGAATCTATGCACAGGTTGACCTTCATATGTTGTCGCTCTAACCAAATAGAGACCCATGCTCAAATTACAACTTTTGTATGAAATTCTAACTGTCATGCCATAGAACACGACGACGTCGCGTTGTTGTTGTTTTTCCAGACAAAAATACTCATTTGTGTTTTGTTGTTATGTCTGACTGCCTCGCTTATAAATATATTTCTAAGAGTGAGCGAGCGAGGTTAGTTTTACGCCGCGTTTAGCAATATTCCAGCAATATCACGGCGGGGGGACACCAGATTATAGGCTTCAAACATTATACCCATGTGGTGTAGCGAACCCGGGTCTTCGGCGTGACGAGCGAACGCTTTAACCACCAGCCTACCCCCACCGTCCAGATGTCTAAGACCTGCATTACTCTGGTGATGTGAATTGGGTTTATCATCCAAAACTGTGTTCCACAGGAGATATCGCTTGTGTGAGATCAAACGATATCTCCTAGGAGATATCGTTTTGACAGTAGATTTTGTACAATGCCCTGACAATGCTATGACGTCATGTACTTGATGACGTCACAATGCTATGACATCGCTGCACTGCAAGTCTAATGGCAGTACCATGCTCAGAGATGTACATTTTTCATTGAAAATTAACGAAGAATGATTTTGGATGATAAATAGAATCTCACCCTCGTGTCTACTGATATCAATTATATCAACACTCGTTGATAAAGGTAAAAATATCCTCGGCAAGCCTCGGATATTTGTAACTTTATCAACTCTTGTTGATATAATTGATATCAGTAGACACTTGGGTGAGATTCTCTATTTACCCTCATGTTCAAGACCATTGTACTTATATCGTGTGTACGAGGGACAGTCAAAAAGTAGTGAGCCTGACCTAGTAAATGATACAAATGCAGCTGTTTTTTATGTTTTATTTTTCTACATATTATCTGTCAACCTCAAGTAAATTGGTTTTGCTACGTTCCAGCCTTACGATCTCCATTTTGTTTGAAATTTTATCTTGGTACCCCCAAAAAGTGCAAAATCTGCAATAAATGCACCACAAACTTCAGGTAACAAAATATGCAAGAAACATTTTGTGTGTTTGAGATAGGTAGACGTCCGCTAGAATCAAATTTAGATAAGTGGATAAAAAAGCAATTTGAAAGTACAATCGCTTGTTAAAGTGATTCCCCTTTCATGTTTACTGAAACAGCTTGTTTTGGAGACACTACCCATCCCCGTTCAGACGACGAATTCATAAGGACATAACTTATTCTAATGTTTTCACTTTCTCACACATGATGCTAAAGGTTCAAAGTAAATACTGAATGGTCACACAAGTGTCAACTCTCAGTATCTGGACACAATGTTTTTGAAAGACTAAAATTGGTGTGTCCTTAAAAAAAACAGCCCTGTCTAAACATAAATCAAGCAATCCAAATCTTTGAATGTTGATTATGACGGGAAGTCATCCAATACTATATTAACATATTTTATATGGCATTATCTGAGGGCATACCATTATCCAAGAGGTACTAAATGACGGATCGTTTTTCATTTTCTGCATTTTTTCTAGAAATATTATACCCCAATGTGTTGTGATGACTAATATCTCGTTAATCACATTACCCACATATGCGAAAATTTTTATACGACTTTGCTAATGATTCCTACAAACTAAAATGGAAGCTTTTCAAACATTTGACATCGAGAATATAGTTAGGCTACGTACTTTTTGACCGACCCTCGTATGCGTGCGTCCGTGCGTGCGTGTGCGCGGGAGGGGGGGGTGGGGGGTTGGGGTCAGGGTGTTCGAACCCCCTGTAAACACCCTTTTGATAATTCCTGGATCCTGGATCCGCCTATGTGAGGTCCGGAACTGAATCACCGACCTACAGTTCCTCTCTATCCACTACACCACGGTAGTGGTTGATTAGTAATGCTCATTTATATTGAACAACTTGTGACAGTCGCCACACAGTGTTTGTACTGAGATGGCAACGTGAATTAGAGAAACTATTTATTCCCAGATTGAGCGGAATCGACTTGAGTGAGAACATAGGTAAGGGACGCAACTCTAACAGAGTAAATTACTTCGCCTTAAGAGGCGATGCTGAAGTGCCACGCTGTTGATCTACAGGATGCGTATATTACGGGTTTATAGATACAGCTGTCAAACACACACGATGGAGGTAGAAGAGTTAAACCTTCAACTAATTATCCACAGTAAATTAATTCACACCAGGGAAAAACCTCACATTAAAAATATAAAATATCAACATGCATAGGTGATGAATGGCGTCCAGCAAAATAACGCTGCATATATTGAATCGATCCCTAATGCCGAAATCCTCACATCTAGCCACACCTGGTCACACCTGGTCACACGGGGCGATGCATGGCACACCTGGCGAAAAATTAATTATCGAATTTTGGTGATGCGTGTAAATCCTAGACAAGTACGCTCGATGAGGGCGGATCTGAATGTTTTTCTAGCCCCGACTGCTGACACTGTCAGAGTAACATGTAATCAAGATGTGCACATGTGCCACGTACTCGTAGCTTAACAGGTATGCGTACATGGTGTTAGCAATGTAATTTATGTCTTTCTTTTGTCCTTCTTGAATTCGAACAATATGTAATTTTCAAAATCAACCCCAGTTTGTTTGAATTCCCCACGAAAAATCCTTTATGATCTGAATAGAACAGAAGCTGCAGATATATGACCTAATTGCGACCTAATTTATAGTGCCTAATTGCAGCCTAATTTATCGGACCCAATTCCGACGTCAGAACGGACGGTGACGTTAAGGCGGGCACCCTACCGTAACACATGATAAGTGTTATGTGGAATTGTATGTGCGCTTCAGTGGCCAAGAACACCATGGGAACATAACCGTTTACTTACTTGGCGCCTATAGCCGTATTTTCTTTACAAAAGCCCGAATTTCATTTACCTTGATATGAACCTAGTTGTATTTACCTATAAGTTGCATATACCATATGCCCAGCTGCATTTACTATAAGCCTGGCTGTATTTACCTTACTATACATTCGGCTTTATTTACCTCACTAGCCATTAATGTGTTTTAAATACTTTTAGCAATATTCCAGCAATATCACGGCGGGGGATACCATAAATCGGGTTAATACATTGTGCCCATGTGGAATCGAACACGAGTCTCCGACGTGACGAGTGAACGCTTTAACACCTGGCTACCCCACCGCCCATCCTTTCAGCCCAGCCTTAAGACAACTGAATTTACCTAACTGTTGGCTCCTCTGTGTGTACATTACGATGAGAACGGCTGTGTTTACCGTGCTATAAGTAGACAAACAAATAAACAAAGCAACAAAAAGAATAACATAGAAATGAAAAGAAAGAGAGAAAAACATGACCAGTGAGATCTTAGATTCGAACTCACGTCCGCAGCTGTATCGGAAACTCACGTCCGCAGCTGTATCGGAAACTCACGTCCGCAGCTGTATCGGAAACTCACGTCCGCAGCTGTATCAGAAACTCAGGACCGCAGCTGTATCGGAACTCAGGACCGCAGCTGTATCAGAAACTCACGTCCGCAGCTTTATCAGACACTCAGGGCCGCAGCTGTATAAAAAAACTCAGGGCCGCAGCTTTATCAGAAACTCAGGGCCGCAGCTGTATCGGAAACTCATGTCCGCAGCTGTATCGGAAACTCACGTCCGCAGCTGTATCGGAAACTCAGGGCCGCAGCTGTATCAGAAACTCACGTCCGCAGCTTTATCAGACACTCAGGGCCGCAGCTGTATCAGAAACTCAGGGCCGCAGCTGTATCAGACACTCAGGGCCGCAGCTGTATCAGAAACTCAGGGCCGCAGTTGTATCGGAAACTCAGGACCACAGCTGTATAAGAAACTCAGTGCCACAGCTGTATCAGAAACTCAGGGCTGCAGCTGTATTGGACACTACGGGCCGCAGCTGTATCAGGAACCAACCCAAAGTTCGACAAGCGAAGATGTTCTTTTCATCAGTTCTGTGAGTGTTGTTTTATTTTTCAAAATCAAAAACCAATCACTTAGGTTTTTAGAGTATTGTTCTTACATGACAGTTCGCCAGTAGAGCAGTCTATAGGGCAATCAATGAACACGTATAAGCCCTTAATGCCTTGGCAGTGAGCGGTAGCATTGCTCCAAGGCTATACTGAGTGAGGTGTCCAGGTATGGATAGTAATTATATCCTTGAAAGAGACAAGTCTAGATAAACGAACGCCAGTTTGTTAGAGGGACAATGTGTTATTTTATTTATATATTTTAGAAATAACTACTGTCTATTATCTTATGGATTTGCGCAAATCTAGTGAGCGGGGTACAACCCGGGTACATACACACGTTCTCCCACCCGCTCAGTGACCCGGCAAGGCCGTAATCCAGTAAGTAGGGTAATACTAGCCTTGCTCCATGGATGTACTGAATGATATGTTAATAGTAATAAAATCCATAAAGCAGACAAGTTTTTAGATAAATGGATAGTATGTTACAGATACTTGTACTTATTATTTATGTAGTCTAGGTATTCCGGTTTCAACCAATCAGAACTCCCGTGTGCTAGTGTATGCAGTATATTACATAGAAAACAGCTGTCATGGACATTGGCGAACAAACACAGAATGCATGTTGACTTATACGTAAAACGATGATTATTTACAATTTTACATCCTTTGGTTACGCAGTTGAGTTGAACTCACGTTGTCATGACAATGATATGTTATTGTGCATGTATGAACAAATATTTTTCTTCTTCAATATCTGCCTCACGTAACCATTAACTGTTGCCAGGAGACACGTCCGATAGCGTCATCTGTTTTTCGCGACAGCACACTTTTTCCAATCTTAAACCTAGCAATATTGTTTTAGTTATCTTCAGATACGTGCGTGCTTTTGTTGAGCTTCGAAAAAGAAAGTCAAATCCTACAGACCCGAATCTAAAGAAAAACAAAGATAAAACTCCATGCTGGGGAATGGGCGCGAGGTAAGGCGTGAACTTTGGTACACTTGGGGGATTAAGCCGTGGCGGGATGGAGGGAACGATTCCGTTGTAATAAAACTTCGGGCACTCCTCCGGATATTCCACATATGCTGCTGTGGCAGGTCTCACAGAACCCGCTTGTGCCCCTGTTTGTTCCCGGCTCCGTGAAGTCACGTGCTAGATAGGTAACGTGATCTACTCCGAGGGGTTGTGCCGAACTTATCTCCTCTCTTCAAAAGATCTTTGGTTGGACTAAGGCGCGGGTAGGCTCCCGGAGCAGAAGAGATCTCGCCCACCCTGTTCCCTTTACCTGGACACTACACACCTTCACCTGCACCACGTTGTCTTCAGGTGTCGTCTGCTACACACAGGTGTGTCGTCTGCCACCAGCAGACGACTTTGCTAACTGGCGTCTGCTCGAGCAGGCCATAACGTCACCTGCTTTGAAGGTGTCTCCGGTCAAGCATTAACCACGGAGAGTAAATTCTGATCTCAACAAATCAAGATGTCGATGAAAAATTTAAAAGTCGATGAACTGGAGGAGAACATCGATGAGGTCAAGGAAGTTGTAGAGGACGTCTTCTCGGCGCTTGTCGCCACTGTCGTTGTCTCCTGCATCATCCTATTCGTCATCCTCCTCCGTGTGTACATCAGATGGGGGACGGAAAATCCCAGCCGCAACAAGATGGAGGGGAAAACAGTCATCATCACAGGTATGATCACGATACGTACCCACACTTCTGTATACGTACCCACACTTCTGTATACGTATGTTAAACCACAAACCCTCTCTTTCGTTCAGGTGCTGTCACTTTCAACTGTCCAAGCCGCACTTTCTGCTATTAACTTTAACAACATAATAAATGCACAATTAATGTAACAAAACACTTGTTTGACGCGCCAAGGTCACACAGTTCGATAAAACACGCATGTAATGAATAGATACGTTCAATATATATAATCTGTCAACTGGGGCTCACTTTTCTCGATTAGAGAAAAAAGAAAGAAAGAAAGACATGGAGCACATTGTGTGGTAATATGCGTTCATTGTATCAGTATCACGTCCAGTCAAACCTAACACTATTCTTCAATCCGCCATTAACACCATTTAGTAAGGACGATAGGGCACTAATATATATCAATGTTATATTTTCTGCTGACGCGCACATTCTTCAGCTGCTTTTGTTTCTGCCGTCGATGATGATTATGTACAAGTAATAATCACGCATGACTTTGATATTTTAAATCTACGGCACAAGGTCTGCTATTTCTCAATATCACTCAAGGACAAATCGCAGCGCCCAACTCGCCTATTGCCAAATCCTCTGTTTCAACTTCAACCTTTGTGTGTTGTCGAATATACCAGGTGTGTGTTCAGCTTCCCACCAAACAGGGGTGGTGTTATAGCATGTATATCACAGAATATTGTTTTGATGAAGATTAGAATGACATAGATAGGGGATTTAACCTGGAGTGTCTTGGATCAGATGGATGATTAAGCCGTATAGGGAACAATGATCGCTGTTTTGTATTGCAAATATAGAATCTGTGTGTAGATATATACTAACTACTGGAAGTGAACGACACGATAACACACTTTGGAGAATTAAGGAAGTTTTATTAATGTTAGAAACTGTCATGAATTAGGCGACGGGTGTTATATTGTACATGCATGTCCAATGAATGGCAATTATCGTAAATCGTGCATTAAGAAATGTGATTGGCTCTGACGAAATGTCATCAAACTAATGAAGTTTTTTCAAAGTAAATATAGAACAAAAATAACCAAAAAATCTTGCTTGGTTGTATAAATATATTGCCTGATTGCACAAACGTTAGATGAATTGTCTGTTGTATAAATAAAACATTTTCGTTTACTAATAATGGTGCAAGTGAGATAACTACATCTAGTTATATATTCTCAAATACCACTAGGTCCTGTTATCGATACTGTTCACGCACAGTGATATTCCAAACACATTTCTGGGATTACTGCACTCGTGATCTGATTACGTCAGTGAGCTGAATATGCTAACGCTGGCCGTACGCGTAAGTCTACAGGGGCGGATACAGCTTTTGAGACAGGGGTGGGGGTGGGGGTTGGGGGTGCACACTATTGAGAAAAGGAGGGGTGCACACTTCAATTTCACCCGAGTTTCAATGGTCATTTAACAAACTTTCAGCACAAAGGGGGTGCGCACCCTGCATCCCCTCTGGATCCGCCTATGGTCTACATCGTTTTGCTCGAGAGAACGATATGAAAAAAACATTTGTGCTATCATGAAAACAAATATGCTATTTTCCGGCTATCGTGCTTGTCTGTCTGTAACATTACCAAATTTACTCCCACCCATGAAGAGCACAATATGATCAGCAAGCAGATATGACCTAGATGACCTGACCACGTGACCAGCTGATTGGTCAGGTGTAAATAAACCAGATAATAACACAAACACCAACACGTGGTACAATCTCGCCGTGTCTCGCTTGAACGGAAACAGTGTAAGCTAATATCATCGAGATCTTGGGACACCTGGCAATTTGATACAGAGTGTGATTGCTCTCCTGGCACGACGTGTATATCATAGAAAAACAAGACGACAAAGGTCAAGGCCATCCTTTTATGTTCAAGTCTGAATACATAAGTAGCTTTAAAAGTCAAAATTTATTTTTGTACTTACTGAAATCTATGTTGCGTGAAATTCAGCCATGTCGTTTACTCGGAAACAAAAGGTGATTCAAATTCCGTCTCACTGGGATGACTCATGTGTGAACATACTTTTAGAAAACACCGACGGAATAAATAGAGCGTGTTTTGGATGGTGAGCTAAATACATAGTGTTGATTCCTAATAACTTGTCCCCCACAGCTGGCACTGTATATCTACACGACGTTGGGCTCCGTACTTGATTGATTGCACGTGATAACCCAGCCATGTAGAATGTTGCTGATTTTCCAATAAAATGGTTATCTAGTCAAGCCTCGACTATTGACATATTGTTGTGAGATGACAAGAACGTTCTGGCTCTGAAATCATATTCTGTCACTCACTGGCAGTTCCGAAATATATATTTGTCATTACACCATGTCATGTCTGTAGGTCATTGTCTTTATCGGTATTTAGGAGGTGGTGTAGCCTCGTGGGACAAGCGTCTTTTTGTCACCTCCACGATACGAGTTCGATACCATATATTTCTGGTTGTAAAAACAGAACCTTCAAGAATCAAAGTAGTCTGTCCCACAGTCCCTGAACCACATTATTTCCCTACTGCCAAGCCCTCTCAACAATGCTAAAGTTCTAAATAAAGCAAGTCTAGATTCCATCAGGTTCTGAATCTCTGTTCTCCCTGGGGCTCCTTTTCAATTGAAATGGGCTTGTTTGTTACTATCAAAATTATATATATTCAGAGACTAAGCGTTAGCCTAGAATCATATTCAACTATTTCCAAGTTTTTGCCATTAATTTCGAGTAAACACTATTCCAGGTTGACACGGGCGTAGCATGGAACATGGTTCAAAGTTACTCTATTGATAATGTTTAGAGGTGTTTCATTTTCAATGGCGTTGAAATGTTTAACTTCCCTATCAGAATTCATGTCACTACATAGCACAAGCCCGTATCACTTTAACGCCGAGACTGGTATGGGAAACATGGTGCTAGGCATTTTTATCTTTTATTCCTGAAGATAAGTTGCTTGGTTTGGGCCTCCCAACAAATTCACAGGAAATTCATCTTTTCTATCGCCCATCGCATCTGGTAAACGTGAACTCCATAGGTCACGTGACTCACCAGGCATTTAAATGGGTGATGTCTGGAACAGATGCAGACCCCGGTTTATCAGTCCAAAGTCGCATCGTTCTGGTTGCTAGGCAACCAGTGTTGGTTCCAGTTGATAAAATTCGGCCTCTGTCATTTTCAACTGTTTGTGGATACACTGTATGTATGGAATATGTATCTATTTACAAACCAATTCAATTTTTGACTAGACAGAAGCGCAAAATGAGATGGTATCTCTTAGATGCGAGAAGTACAACAATATTTGAAAATATACACAGCTCAGTCACTCACTCACTCCGCTATTATCCGGTAGCGGGGACCTTAATCTCATTAAGCTATCATACTTCGGGGGAGGTGGTTTGGTAGCCTAGTGGTTAAAGCGTTCCCTCGTCACCCCGAAGACCCACATGGGTACACTGTGTGAAGCCAATTGCTGGTGTTCCCAGCCGTGATATTGCTGGAATACTGCTAAAAGCGGCGTACTCACTCACTCATACTCCGATACGCAGAGACACCGCGTATTGGAGCAACACACCTGACTCGTGGTGGAGTAGCCCAGTGGATAAGCCTTCGCCCTTCATGCCAAAGACTCAAGTTCGATTCTACTGGGGCAATAGACTAACAACTAGTCTCTGAAATGAACATATTTTACTGAAAAAAGTTCATAGTAAAAAAAAATAAAGTATAATGAAAAGGAGCCCTGAGACTTTCTTCATTTTCAGAAGCTGCGGAAATCTAGACTTGCCACATTTTCTAGACTTGTGTGGGCTTTCTTGGATATATTTGCTTCAGGGTCTTCACGAGAGACTACTGGTGCAAGTAATCTACATCATATTTCTACAGGCAGGGATTCTGAACTGATGGGCCTGAATTAACTGAAAGACCATGTCAAGCCCCGCCATTCCGAACAGTTCCGTTACTTGTACATTTAGGGTTAGTCGCAATGATATTAAAGTTTACACGTCCGTCCAGTAATCGCTTGGTTCCGTGATAATTACTGATTACTGCGAGAAAATCAGATGTTACTCCTATCAGGTCCGGGCTCAGCTAGGACGCGCTGGGACGATCTGTCTGTCAAGGTGCTCGTACAGGTGTTATGTACATGTACATTTACACATTTGCGCCGTTGGTCGGAGCCTTGGTACAGTGTAACTCTGTTGATCCAGATTGTCAAATTCTGGATACAAAAGTCAAGAGTATAGAAGTAATCTCTTGAAATATATGTAGACGATTTCAGTACACGTTTTTTTCTGGATTACCTGTTAGGCATAAATGTTTATAAACAGAAATATATGATGGTTTCCGGTTATATATATTGTCTTGAATAAATGTATTGGAATGACTTTATCCATGTCCAGACTATTGGTGTATTAAATAACTCTTTTAGAAAATTATGTTTTGTTACTTATAATAACATATGTAAACTGGTAAGTAATCAAGGTAAATGCCACGTTTACATCGAGTATTCAATTCGAGTATAAACATTACACGTAATATGTCTAAAGAAACTATGTGTCTTCAAAATGAATTACAAAGTCTATCAAGAATTGAATTTAGACAAATCAGGTTATTTCTCCTTCAAGACGTGTAGCAGTAGTAGTGATAGCCATTCTGTGTAGTGCTGATTATCCTACTGTGTATTACTGCGCCATATTGCAGTGCAGACACGAACCCCAACATCACGACCATCCCACTGTCAGAGGGAGACAGATATGTACTACATGAGTAATATGACATTGTCTGGCACACTCCCTTGTCAGGATTCAACTTCCGTAATAAACATGGAACCAATCAGGATCGAGTTTCATATCAAGGTGACCACGACCTTGCTTTCTCTGACGTCCGCGCACTATTGTTAGTTACATCATTGCTTTCATATTTTTAGTTTTTAATTTATTCAAAATATATCTGAAACATTCAAACTTTTCTTTAATT